GTCTCAGAACGTGTGATCCTGATAACGCATTCCTTGCTCTAAATTTACGATCAATCCTTTTTAACCTCAGCGCTGGAAAAAACTAAACACGACAAAACCCTCACCCCTAAAGTATCGAGATTCACCAAGAGATTCACCTTGAGAACCTTTATGTAGTGGAAGGAGAGAAAAGGGAGGCGAGGTAGAAAGGAACGTTTGCCATTCACTTTAACCGGACTCCAAATACTCCATTTTCGGGTTCTCTGTTGCTCAGGGTTAGCCTCGATTTTATGTAGAATATTCACGTGTTCCGGTAAAGGCTGGTGGAATTTCAAAGTGTTTTTTGTTGAAGTTTTGCATTCATTAATTTACTGTTGGTATTTGTGAATATTTAGACACTGGAGGCCAACCCTAAGTAAATGATTCTGTAATCAAAGCAAAAACAGCGGTAATTTGAACCTCGATAATGATCTATTACTGGAGTAGTATTTGCTGTGTGCTGGTAGGGGATGGTGAATTGGACTTTGTGTTTAATGTTTCTACGCAATCCGCAGGGGGGGGGGGGGGGGGGGGAGGGGGTGTCCTAAAAATTTTAGATTCTTGAGTAGTTTATTAATTTCTCTCCTGTTCTCCACATAATGAAGGTTTTCTAATGAATCGAGGTTGTGTCACTTTTGAAAAGAATCCTATAAACTCCATAGCTGGTTACTGACTTGACTAAGATAGTTGTAAATGATAATAAATTTACTTAACGATAATAGCATCAGGAAATTTAGATATCACTCAAGGTTTATTGGGAGACTGGTAACGATCTTTACGCGCATGGAATTATGGGAAACGAAAGATGGCGGACACATTACTGCGCTGCTCATCCAGCTTCATGTATCTCGAAGACGAATGTATTATATCAACACGTGCCTCATGTTTATATACAATGTGAATAAACAAATTTGAAACATTTTGATTGTCTTTTTTAGTTTTATTGTAGCGAAACGCTTAATAAATAAATGGTGGCAAACTTCAGAAGATTAAGGTCTTCACGGCTTGGTCAGAAATGGGAAAACATTACGCCAAAGCATAGACTATATTGCTAATCTGTCACAATGCATTCTGAGACTGTTATCTCAATGAGGTTATACTAAACAAAAGACGTGGTTGTGCTTTTGTTCGGTGTTATTTAACTCAGTCCCAGAATGCATTGCTGTGACTGGACAGCGAAAGAGTGTTAAAGGGAGGAATTTAGGGGAGTTTCGTCGAAGGGACGTCATGATTATTTTTTCATTCAATCCAAAGCTCTGTTTCTGCAGAAGACTGAAGCAAAAATGGTTATGACCAAATTTTTATTATTCATTTGAATAGGAGGGTTGATGATTTTTCTATGTTAGTCCGTGTGGTTTACACGCTATATTTTCAGTACGACAAATTAAGGTGCTATTTTTGTGGAAATTTTGCAAAATATATATTTTTTCTTATGCTTTTAAAGTGCCATTTCATTTCTCCAGGTAATCTTGGTACCTGGAATAAAACTTTACAAGTCAATCCTTTACCATTCTCGACTCCGACCAAAATCGCGGCAAAAATCGTCCGTGTAAACAGGCCTTGCAACGAATTGTTTGGATTGCGCATCCCACATGGATTGCGGTTCTTTTTTGGTATGAGAGAGCAAGTGGAATTCATATATTATTAGTGTCTCTGATTGGATTTAAAATAGGTTCTGGAAAGTCTTAAATTACCTATATACGTAGTTTCAATACTTTGCAGTCTGCCTCAATCCAGAAAAAACCTAGCATTGTTACTATTTTGCAATAAATAGAAGGCAGCAGTATTTTAAGTAATTAGTGAAGCKTGTCATATGATTTTGTGCTCAGCAAGTGTTTACATAGTGCAGAGAGGAAACATCGCGATGKGGCATGAATATCGATCACAACAAATATAAACATGGAAAAGCTAATAAGAGACTACTATTTTTTGCGATTGGAAACGTGCTTTTAAAAAGTAATGCTTTTTTAAAAAGGTAAAAGAAATAAACTTGTTTGAGAAAGTAATAATTTTTAAAATCATTGAAGAAGACGTGGAACAACAAAGAAGACAAGAAATTGCAAAGTCACGTTTTCGCGTCCTTTTCAAAATGAACACTAATCAATAGCGATTCTTATATAAGGATGTTTGGGTTATTCAACAATTAATAAAAGCTTGTAAAGGTGCATGTTTTATGGGTTTAGTGYTTACACGTCATGTTCTTGTTTAGGCATGCGCAGTTTTTCGTAGTTGAGACCCACATGGATTATCGCAGGAACATAAGTTACTTCACCTGGTGTTTTTGAAAAGTTTTTAATTTTGGAGTAAATTTTGAAATCAGTATAAAAAGTACTGTGTGTGTACTTATATTGATCCATTAACATGCTGAAACGCTTGTCAATTTTGGAAKTAGGTTTTTTACCCTTCATTTCCAGGCGAGTGAAATGCTTGATTATTCAGTGGATGGTAACTTTGACAACGAATATAATCTGTTTTTCTAACAGAAAGGAATGAAAATTATGGAATAGAAAATAAAGATGGTTAAATTGAAAGGAATTAAAAATTTATTATGAATATTTTTTGTAACTATAAAAAATAGATATATAAAAAGAAAAATTATTTGAACAAAAAAATAATAAAGGCAATAAACTGTTCTCCTTGATATGTCCTTTGCAATGACTTCATTGCTATGAAAAGGACATTGAAGTCAGG